TCAGAGAGCTGCGTCATTTGTCGATGTCGATATCGCTCCAAGGCAGCAACCATTTCTCGCACACGTGAAATTCGTTCTGACAAATATTTTAATCACAATTTGAAATGTAGCGAAATTAGTTCCATTATAGCGTATTTACCATCTAATTTTTACCCTACTCAATACGATGCAATAATCGGTCTCACCGGGGTCTAGGAACCGCAACGTTCGGAACGGTGATGCCCAAGGAGATCACGAAACAGCTAAAGCCTTATCAAATGCCTTCTGTTGGGAAAACTGTGGCGCGAATACCGTTTTAGAAGAAACAAACGCTAGAATCGTCAGCGACGGCGCAGCAACTGTTGAAGCAGCATCGAATGAAAAAATCGCTAACTGCATAACCGGGGTAAAAAACTATGAATTAGCAGCTGGTCTCTAAGTATCTTGGTATACGAAGAAAAAAAGTCTGGCCTTTTCCCCTCCCCACACCCCCAAAAAAAAAAAAAAAAACCGAAACCGGTGAAAAATACGTATTCAACTTGAAACACATCTCATATGACCCATTCCTCCGAAAGCAAAATTCAGTAAGCTGATAAAGACCAAAAAATTAAAAAAAAAAAACGCTTACCGCTTCTTTTAAGCCACCATAAGCCAACATTGCGGCAAGTAATCCAGAGAAGATTAAGAATAAATGTAACAAAACAAGTGATCACTGCTGCGAGAATACTCCCCCAGAACACCGATTCGGACATTGCTAGTCGATACCAACTCGAATAATCCAGACGAAAATGCACTATTTGTGTAACATTACCCTGAAATGCAACAAAAAATGCCTATGTATGTGACTAATTCAGAAAAAATGAACCATAATAAAACACATAAGCATTACTTAATGAAGCGTATATAAGGAAACAACGAAAATTAATTATCATTAGCCAACAATTAGAGTAATGACAATGAAAAACATTCGCTTTAATCAATATCGTCAAGGTCTCAAAAAACTGTATTGTTACTTTTTGTCGGTAATGTTTGGGACTGGAAACATATGGAAAGTGGTGATGGTGAAGTTCCTAGGCCAGCTCGAAAAGGCTTAGTCCCTGTCACATGCTTCTATCAAGTACACCGTTAAAGCAGTACTCTCTTCAGGATATAAAAGTCAAGAGCGCCAGCAGGCTGACCGTTAAAAGAAACAACTAGCAAAACTGCCAACCGCCTGACTGGTGAAACAAACTATAAACTGCCATCTGTTCAAGGAATACTGTTAGTAAGGTAACCAGAAATAACTGGTCAGCGTAGTGTCAGCTGGTGAAAGGATGCGTTTTTTGCACAGTTTCCCGCAAGCTTTTGTCGCTAACGGCACTGTTATTTCCGGCAGATGCTCCCAGCTAAAAGAACTGAGACTGATCACTACGACTGTCTGAAAACATCTCCTCAAAATTTCAGCTTTTTATCTTTTCTGGTCCCCGAGTTAGCAGCTTACTCGTCAAAAACTTTCACGGGCCCATAAGTGGGAATCTTATGAACAAGTGAGTCCACTATGAGGATAGGGGCCCGCGCAAACGTGTAGACTGAGTTACAAAGTTTTAGCTTCGTAGCTTTCCTGAGCCTCAAGATCAAAAATCGGTACAGACGCATATAGGGACACACATGCACAGAAAACCCCCTGACAATATGCGTTCTTGCATTGAATATATGCAAAAACGTATAAAAATTATCAAACGAATTACAAGTAACCACAAAAAATTATCAATTAAAATACTAAACTGCTATCTAAAATACAGCTGTCAGAAAAAAAAAACAGTGTTTTATCCATTACCGTGATAAAATGGACAAGGAATTATCACTTAAAACACTGTCAGGATACGACCAAAAAAGCTATCATTTTGGGCGTCATCACGATAACGATATTATTTGAGCCAAAAATAATGTTAAGGAATCAAACCACCCGTCGCACTTTCCTAATAACAGCCAAGAATCGTTCGCGTAAAAAATAAGCCAACAGATGACATACCTTTGAATTAGACGCAATACAACAGTACCGTTCAACCAGATGTTTACTAGCATTCCTGATAATCAGCGGACCGCCACGAAGAATTTTATAGATACCGTCGCGAGACCAGTTCATCGAGACAACATTACTTTGATCATTATATGTTCCAATCAATGTCTCCGGCCTTACCAACCACCAGTTAATGGTTAAAGGAGAATCACCATAACCATCACATGGCAAAACTGCAGTTTCTGCATAAGGAACCCGTACAATGAATTTGGTACCATTGGGAACCCGCCTAGAAATACCTGAAATATTTTCACTTGACAAATTTTGAGAACTGGACGGTGGATGAATGACCACCAACCATCCCTCCTTCCGCCCCTCCCCTACTGAAGCTAATGCGATATCCTCTCTGATCAAAACACAATAATCAGGCCAAGCATTCGGACAAGGGAAATTCATTTTGCCCCGTCTTCTCGAAAGTATCTGGTATACTTGAATTAGTTGTAATTCACTTTCGGGATCTTCGATTAAGCAGCCGACAACTGTTTTGATCGGTGGTCAACCTGGAATTTGTTCCCTCTTCTAAAGGGATTTCTAATTCAACGGTTTTCCTAACATCTGGCAAGGTTCTAGCTGATTCAGGATGTCACTAGTGCGTTTAGTATTAATGCCCGTCTCCTCTCGAACATTATCAATTCTAGTCCACAATGAGGTACCACACCGAGCTGTCAGACAGCCTGAGATATACTATTCCGTTATGATAAGCAACTAAATTAAATTAATAATATCAGAGATATATCAAAACTGAATTTCGTAAAGTTCCAATTTGCAGAAAATGATAAACACTAATCGAGTCTACTATATTAT